AATTATTTGTTTAAGACTTTATTTTGCACTGTATCACTGTTAACATTCTGATGAAATTTATTTTTAAATTATCAACAAAAGTACAAAATTATATAAAACAAGGAGACCATTTTGCTAAATATGAAAAGTAAAATTAAACACAAGTTGATATGAAAAAAATTCCTATTAGTATATTTTTGAAAAGTAGAAAAATTTTTAGGGTGTCATAAATTTTGAGTTTGATTCTAATATGATGTAAAATAATTTGATTATTTTAAATACAATACTGACTTTTGAAAAACGTTGTATAAGTTTTGTTTAAACTCAAAGATAAGCAAACTTTAAACAAGACAAGTTGCCTGCTATTTACTGACTTATGTTTGGTGTAAATAAAAAAACAACAACATTTAAATAATAAAGTAGTTTGTATTATTCTGATTCATTATATATTGATTTGTTCATTATTGACATACTACAAAACTAAATAATATATCCGTATAGCATAATATATTTTGTATATTACAGGCACATTATACAACTCCCCCCCCCCCTATTTATATATATTAGTATATATATATATATAAAAATATATATATATATAAAAATATATATATATATTTATATATATATATGTATATATATATATATATAATATATATATATATATATATATATATATATATATATATATATATATATATATATATAATATATATATATATATATATATTTATATATATTTGTATATATATATATATATATATATATATATATATATATATATATATATATATATATTTATATATATATATATGATTTAAATGTTGACATCTTGTACGAGTAAATATATATATATATAAACTAATTTAAAACATCAGATAATACGAATTCTCTCAATACTAAATAATTTATTTAAAATTTTCGCCGGATTATAGGCACTGGCATCACAGCATATAATATAATATAATTACAAAAATTGTGACCATTAAATAACAACAAAAAATTTTTTTAATTTTGACGTCACCTTTATAATGGATTCTTTTCCAAGTCCAAAAATTTTTTAACGGTCACAATTTTTGTTCACATTTGGTTTTATCCTCTTTTTTAATGACTGGACTGGTTTTTTCACTTGGTAATTAAAATAAAATATGAAATAAAATATGCTTGTTTGAAAAATGATAACTCAAAAATTTCAAAATTGTGACCGCTGGTTTTTCTAAACTAAACTATTTAAATATATATATATATGTGTGTGTATATATATATATATATATATATATATATATATATATATATATATATATATATATATATATATGTGTGTATAATAATATATTTATATGCATATATATATATATATATATATATATATATATATATATATATATATATATATATATATATATATATATATATATATATATATATAATATATATGAAGACCTCAGTGGAAAAACCAGTGTTGCCACATTTTATTTATATTTTTTATTTTTGTCAACTTTTAGCAAATTAATATTGATGTAGACACAAGAAAGTTTATTTAAAATATACCTTTAGCACTAAAATTAATTTATTAAAATCATTTTTATGCTTCCAAAAGTCACGGTTTCTCATGTTCAAATTGTTGTTGGTCAGATTTTATATTTAATGAAATATATATATATATTTCAAGAAAATAACAAAAGAACTTTTGCAATTTTCAAATAACCTAAGTCAACAAAAACATGATTAAGTTTTGTTTTTGTTAAAATTTATTTACTTCAATTTTTTAATAATATATGTGAAAGAATATTTATTGTTTTTACATTTAAAGTTTTGAATAATGATGCTTAGTTAAAGCACAGTTTTAATTAGTTAATTTTGAATTTGTGTAACGTTAGTTAAAACTATATTTTTTCTGGTGCTTTTTCATGAAACAAATCCTTTGTAAATGCAATTAAGAGGGCCGACCATAAAGTATGTCACCCTATACTTTTCAATTTTTAACCTCTTCCCTTCTGTCACAAACTGTCACATATACCTGTAATTGTTCTCCCTCCAGTTTTTATATCAAATTTTTTTTTTAATATTTGAATGTAAATACTTTGCAACATAAAAAATTCAACCTAATGAAAATAAGGCACATAAAATAAATGAAAATACACATTAACATAAGAATTGTAAGTAAATTTTTGACAAACTAAAAGATTTTCTTAAATGACTAATATTATTAATAAATTTGTCATACTAAAGTAATTTCTTAAAGTTATTCTTAGTCTTGCAAAAAAAACTGTTTTGGATTTGACAACTTTTATAAATGTTATGAAAAATCGCTTAGGAAGAGTGCCACCAGTTTTTTAAAATTGCCTTTGTTAATTACTTTTGATGAATGAGTTTAATACTTATGCAATTCTTTTGTTACATAACTTTTTTTTTTTTTTCTATACAATTTTTGCAAATAAAAAAAATTTACAGTCATAACTTTAAAAAAATATTTACATGACCGGGGCTAGTAGAAGACAGATTTAGTCTTATCATTAAG